AAACCAGTCCCTGGTATCAGAAAGGTTGGGGACCGCTGTTCTCAAGTCAAGACTGCTCAGGTCTTCAGGACACTGAGAATCTAATAAACATCTAGACCTAAAGCAGACCCACATCAATCCTCACTCCCTCTCCCTTTCTCTGCAGATGAGTCTCTGTGTGACATTGGGACCTGTCATGACGTTCCAGAATTATTGGAATTGCATCTTCTCCTGGCCAGGATGGGTCTCCCATCCTTCAGAAAGAAGTGCGCTCTGGTTAACAAATCCAGACTGGAGACTCAGAGAGAACTGAGCCCCAATATAATCTCAGGAGGATGACAAGCATAAGGAAGATTATAAGAAGGTGAGAGACTGTTACTCAATAAACATCTACACCTAAAGCAGACCCACATCAATCCTCACTCCCTCTCCCTTTCTCTGCAGATGAGTCTCTGTGTGACATTGGGACCTGTCATGACGTTCCAGAATTATTGGAATTGCATCTTCTCCTGGCCAGGATGGGTCTCCCATCCTTCAGAAAGAAGTGCGCTCTGGTTAACAAATCCAGACTGGAGACTCAGAGAGAACTGAGCCCCAATATAATCTCAGGAGGATGACAAGCATAAGGAAGATTATAAGAAGGTGAGAGACTGTTACTCAATAAACATCTACACCTAAAGCAGACCCACATCAATCCTCACTCCCTCTCCCTTTCTCTGCAGATGAGTCTCTGTGTGACATTGGGACCTGTCATGACGTTCCAGAATTATTGGAATTGTATCTTCTCCTGGCCAGGATGGGTCTCCCATCCTTCAGAAAGAAGTGCGCTCTGGTTAACAAATCCAGACTGGAGACTCAGAGAGAACTGAGCCCCAATATAATCTCAGGAGGATGACAAGCATAAGGAAGATTATAAGAAGGTGAGAGACTGTTACTCTAAAAAGCTCACTTTCAAGTTTAACCACAACCTCCAATAGCACAAACCTACCTAATGTCTAAAGTTCTGTCATAATAGCCAATAATGATGATAATTATAACAACTATCTAATGAATGGTTATTGTGAGGCTGGAATAGGTATTTTATTTGCATGTCTTTACTTAATCTCACTAACACTGTATAAGGTTGATATTTTCAAGTAAATTTGATATGTAAGTAAAGAGACTCTCACTGACCCTGGCACATGGTATGTGTTTAATAACCAAACGTTAATGTGCATGCCCATTTTACAGATGAAAAACGTGAGCTGTAGAGACACCTAGAATTGCACTGACAGTGAGAGATATAGCCTGTATTTGAATCTAATACAGGAGTATGTTGAATCTAATGAAGGCGGAATCTAATACAGCAATGAATCTAACACAGGAGGACTCCAAAATTTGAGATCTTATCTAGTAAACCACGCTGCAGCCCACATATGTCCCTGGGTCACAGAAGCTCAAGATTATATAAAACTCCAGAAACATCCACCATGTCCTCCATCCTTTCCAAGTCACTGGAGTCTTTCATAGCTGTCCCTGTTTAGTCTCCAGGGGGCTTCCCCGGTGGCTCAGACTTTCCCACAATGCAGGAGACCCAGGTTCTATCCCTGGGTTGGGAAGATCCCCTGGAGAAGGGAAAGGCTACCCACTCCCACTCCAGTATTCTTGTCTGGAGAATTCCATGTTGCAAAGAGTCAGACATGACTGAGCGACTAACAGCTGCAGCTGATATTTAGTCTCCAGAGCTTGAGAATTACTTTTTTTAAGATTAAAGTAGGACTTCAGAAATGGGATCTGTGAGTTCCTCTTTTCCCAGGGTTCCTTTCCTCTGCACACACCCAGATAGTTCCAGAAACTCTTCATAAGCACCAGGAGTGGTCCTGGCTGTTCCATCTGAGCTCAGGTGGCCCAAGGCTCCTGCCTCCCAAGAGCTAAGTGGCTGGTAAAAGGAAATCATCCCCTGACCTAGAGAAACCCAAGTAGATATTTCAACTGCATTTATTTCCTGTTTCCCAGATCCCAGTACTCCTGGGTGCTACAGACCCCAGCTCTGTGTTTGACCCAAAGACTCGGGTTGCCTAAGTCAGCATGGTCCTGGGGTCTTCAAAGTTAGTTTGTTAGGAGTTTCTTCAATTTAAGAGAGCTGTCTTAGCATAGCTTCTTCAGTAAGGAAGATCAGAGTAAAATGTGGCCTTTCTCCCTACCACCAATAGCTCCCTAAAACTTGCACCATCAATATAGGAAACTCTGTGGCCCAGCCAAGCAAAACATGTGAAAGATTTCAAAGATGCATGTTTTTTACTTTGACATCAACTGGTGAATGTGCCAGACAAGACCGTAAGGTCTACCCATAGAGTCAGCTAATTGAGGAAGGGCCCTCTACTTGGCTAGTTTTCACATCAAATGCTCTCCTTCAACTCACATTAGGATTATCATTTCCTTTCCCCAATTTCTGCAGCAGAGATATGGAAAGTGCTCAAAACTATGCAAAGTTCTTTTCCATTCACCATCCTATCTGACCCTCACAGCAAATCTGTGAGACCACCCTGTGTTGTTGAAGAAAATGATACTTAGGGCAGGCAAAGGCTTTCCAAATCCCTCAGCCAGGAAATCTTAAGGATGGGCAATTAGAGGTTTTTTTGTATTATTCTATTTTCTTTCCTCTAAAACTCATTGCATCTCCGTTTCAGCATTCCTTTTCAACTCATGTCTATGATTACATTACAGAAATCTTAATTATCCTATGGTAGCTTTAACTCTTACTTGACATTCCCTAATCAATTTTCAGAAATGCATCTCTTCAACAAAAGTTTTGGAATGGATGCTCTGTGTCAGAGTCTAAGCTGAGTGGGGACATAAAAATGAGCAAGACAGACGTGACTTCTCCCTTCATGGAGCTTACAGACTAGCATCCCTATCACAGCCAGTCCGGAATTTAGCTGAAGATGCCAAAATCATAGCATCCAAGAGAATATGATTCAACTACACTAAGAAATAGGGGATAAAGGACTTTTCATAAGGAAAGGGACTTTTCATAAGAAAAGGAACTCAGAGTTTACTTCCTGAAAGTACTCATTAGGAGAGAGGATTCAAGGGCCTACAGTGAACCATCTTTAAAGAGGATACCTAGCTTTCTGGTTGTAACAGTTAAGTAAGTATGTAATGATTAACGCATTAAGAGAGCTTTCTTATCTTCCCTTTTTAACATGTGAAATTCTCAGACTGAGTCAGACATAGGAGGTCTATAGTCTATGATTTTAAAACAGCTTATTCATAACAGTAATGAGAACTAGAGTCAGGCTGACTAATGCAGCTAAACCACTGTCTACACTGGGGAAGAAGCCATAGGCCATTTTTGTCAACAGTCCCACATCTGTAAATGTCACTAGGCTGTCATCCTCTCATCTATAATGAGCTATCAAAAATGAATGTTAGGAGAATTCTTTGAGAAAATATAGTCAAATGCACTTTGAAAATTCTTCTTATATAGTCCCTCCTAGATCCCCTGTCTTAAGATTTTCTTAAGCTCAAAGAGGTATGATTTTATTTTGTTTGTTTGTTTGGTTGGTTTTTTTAAATTAATTAATTTATTTATTTTACTTTACTTTACAACATTGTATTGGTTTTGCCATACACTGACTTGACTCCTCCATGGGTGTACATGTGTTCCCCATCCTGAACCCCCCTCCCACCTCCCTCCCCATCCCCTCCCTCTGGGTCATCCCAGTGCACCAACCTTGAGCATCCTGTCTCATGCATCGAACCTGGACTGGCGATTTGTTTCACATATAATAATTTACATGTTTCAATGCCGTGCTCCCGTATCATTCCACCCTCGCCCTCTCTCACAGAGTCCAAAAGACTGTTCAATACATCTGTGTCTCTCTTGCTGTCTCGCATACAGGGTTATCATTACCATCTTTCTAAATTCCATACATATGCATTAGTATAGTGTATTGGTGTTTTTCTTTCTGGCTTACTTCACTCTGTATAATAGGCTCCAGTTTCATCCACCTCATTAGAACTGATTCAAATGTATTCTTTTTAATGGCTGAGTAATATTCCATTGTGTATATATACCACAGCTTTCTTATCCATTCATCTGCTGATGGACATCTAGGTTGCTTCCATGTCCTGGCTATTGTAAACAGTGCTGCGATGAACACTGGGGTACATGTGTCTCTTTCAATTCTGGTTTCCTTGGTGTGTATGCCCAGGAGTGAGATTGCTGGGTCATATGGCAGTTCTATTTCCAGTTTTTTAAGGAATCTCCACACTGTTCTCCACAGTGGCTGTACTAGTTTGCATTCCCACCAACAGTGTAAGAGGGTTCCCTTTTCTCTACACCCTCTCCAGCATTTATTGCTTGTAGACTTTTGGATAGCAGCCATTCTGACTGGCGTGAAATGGCATCAAAGAGGTACCATTTTAGACTAATAAGGAAGATTTTGCCATCTGGTTTGGAGAATAAAAATGTGAAGCGCCAAAGGATTGGAGCTTCAGCTTCAGCATCAGTCCTTCCAATGAATATTCAGGGCTGATTTCCTTTAGGATGGACTGGTTGGATCTCCTTGCAGTCCAAGGGACTCTCAAGAGTCTTCTCCAGCACCACAGTTCAAAAGCATCAATTCTTCGGCACTCACTTTTCCTTATGGTCCAACTGTCACATCCATACACGACCATTGGAAAAACCATAGCCTTGACTAGACAGATCTCTGTCAGCAAAGTGACGTCTCTGCTTTTTAATACATATAGAGGTTGAGTGCATGCATGCTCATCACTCATTCGTGTGCAACTCTCCTCAACCCTCTGGGGCTCCTCCGTCCATGGGATTCTCCAGGCAAGAATGCTGGAGTGGGTCGCTGTGCCCTCCTCATAGAGGTTGAATACTAGAGCACAAATGATAGATGTCTGTTTACTTGGAGAAAGATAAATCCCTGTGCACATCACTTTAATACAAGGTAGACTGAGGTCGGCCATGCAAAGGTGTAACAAAGGGCAGGAGGGCGGAGAGAGGCTGACTCTGAGGGGGTCTGGAATGGTCACTTAGACTCGAGTGGCGTGGGAGCAGATCGTTCAGTTTCATCTTCAGGAGCCATGGGTTCCAGCCTCTGCTCCATCATTGGCCTGTCTTTCCGCACACAGGATCTCCATTGCCCTGCACAGAGACTCCCACAAAAAAAATAAAATGGTCCTGGCAGGCTCTTAGGCTCCTCCGGCTCTGACCTCACAGGATTCTTGCCGTGGCCTCCGCTGTCGGTGCCCTCCTCCATCTGCCCTCGGGCGTCCCGATGCCCATGCGTCCCCGACACGTGATACCTCAGCTGGTCCTCCCCCTCTGACATCAACTAGCGAGTGATTAGTTCACCGCCAGGAACTCCCAGCTGAATAATGAATTATGGGATTGTTCTTTGCATTTTGACAGAAGCCTTCTAGAACAAAGGCTTTAACACAGCAGATTTATTAGAGTGATGGAAATTTAGGTACTTTGTGTCAAGTGGGCTGGGGGGCCTTTCTGAAATTATCCGTGAACTTGACTGCCTTCCCATGCACTTTGCCCTAGAATAATTAAGGAAAACCAGGTTTAGAGAAGCCAAGCTTTCCAACTTGAATAGTTGTATAATGGATTGGGCAGTGAATATATTAAAGAATTTGCTATGTAGAAACGTTGGCGATTACTCTTTGACACAGGAGATTTGAGTTAGCTCTGAGATCATTTCCATGAAACAGACATGGGGACATTGAACTGTGTGAAGCTCGAGGCTGTGCTTCCATCAGAAATAACACGGTATCAGGTAGAGCTTGGAGAGTGCATGGAGGAGCAGAGAAGCTGATGTGTAGAGGGTGCATCCCTAGTCCCTTTACTGACGTCTCTGACCTTCAGCATCCATGTGCACCAAGTCCCTTTGCTGACGTCTCTGACCTTCAGCATCCATGTACACCAAGTCCCTTTACTGACGTCTCTGACCTTCAGCATCCATGTGCACCAAGTCCCTTTACTAACGTCTCTGACCTTCAGCATCCATGTGCACCAAGTCCCTTTACTGACGTCTCTGACCTTCAGCATCCATGTACACCAAGTCCCTTTAGACATCTCTGACCTTCAGCATCCATGTGCACCAAGTCCCTTTAGACATCTCTGACCTTCAGCATCCATGTACACCAAGTCCCTTTAGACATCTCTGACCTTCAGCATCCATGTACACCAAGTCCCTTTACTGACGTCCCTGACCTTCAGCATCCATGTGCACCAAGTCCCTTTACTGACATCCCTGACCTTCAGCATCCATGTACACCAAGTCCCTTTAGACATCTCTGACCTTCAGCATCCATGTGCACCAAGTCCCTTTACTGATGTCCCTGACCTTCAGCATCCATGTGCACCAAGTCCCTTTACTGACGTCTCTGACCTTCAGCATCCATGTGCACCAAGTCCCTTTAGACATCTCTGACCTTCAGCATCCATGTACACCAAGTCCCTTTACTGACGTCTCTGACCTTCAGCATCCATGTACACCAAGTCCCTTTAGACATCTCTGACCTTCAGCATCCATGTGCACCAAGTCCCTTTACTGACGTCTCTGACCTTCAGCATCCATGTGCACCAAGTCCCTTTACTGACGTCTCTGACCTTCAGCATCCATGTGCACCAAGTCCCTTTACTGATGTCCCTGACCTTCAGCATCCATGTGCACCAAGTCCCTTTACTGACGTCTCTGACCTTCAGCATCCATGTGCACCAAGTCCCTTTAGACATCTCTGACCTTCAGCATCCATGTACACCAAGTCCCTTTACTGACGTCTCTGACCTTCAGCATCCATGTACACCAAGTCCCTTTAGACATCTCTGACCTTCAGCATCCATGTGCACCAAGTCCCTTTACTGACGTCTCTGACCTTCAGCATCCATGTGCACCAAGTCCCTTTACTGACGTCTCTGACCTTCAGCATCCATGTGCACCAAGTCCCTTTACTGACGTCTCTGACCTTCAGCATCCATGTGCACCAAGTCCCTTTACTGACGTCTCTGACCTTCAGCATCCATGTGCACCAAGTCCCTTTACTGACGTCTCTGACCTTCAGCATCCATGTGCACCAAGTCCCTTTACTGACGTCTCTGACCTTCAGCATCCATGTACACCAAGTCCCTTTACTGACGTCTCTGACCTTCAGCATCCATGTGCACCAAGTCCCTTTACTGACGTCTCTGACCTTCAGCATCCATGTGCACCAAGTCCCTTTACTGACGTCTCTGACCTTCAGCATCCATGTGCACCAAGTCCCTTTACTGACATCTCTGACCTTCAGCATCCATGTGCACCAAGTCCCTTTACTGACGTCTCTGACCTTCAGCATCCATGTGCACCAAGTCCCTTTACTGACGTCTCTGACCTTCAGCATCCATGTGCACCAAGTCCCTTTACTGACGTCTCTGACCTTCAGCATCCATGTGCACCGAGTCCCTTTGCTGACATCTCTGACCTTCAGCATCCATGTACACCAAGTCCCTTTGCTGACGTCTCTGACCTTCAGCATCCATGTGCACCAAGTCCCTTTACTGACGTCCCTGACCTTCAGCATCCATGTGCACCAAGTCCCTTTAACATATCTGACCTTCAGCATCCATGTGCACCAAGTCCCTTACTGACGTCTCTGACCTTCAGCATCCATGTACACCAAGTCCCTTTACTGACGTCTCTGACCTTCAGCATCCATGTGCACCAAGTCCCTTTACTGACGTCTCTGACCTTCAGCATCCATGTGCACCGAGTCCCTTTACTGATGTCCCTGACCTTCAGCATCCATGTGCACCAAGTCCCTTTACTGACGTCTCTGACCTTCAGCATCCATGTGCACCAAGTCCCTTTACTGACGTCCCTGACCTTCAGCATCCATGTGCACCAAGTCCCTTTAGACATCTCTGACCTTCAGCATCCATGTGCACCAAGTCCCTTACTGACGTCTCTGACCTTCAGCATCCATGTGCACCAAGTCCCTTTACTGACATCTCTGACCTTCAGCATCCATGTGCACCAAGTCCCTTTACTGACGTTTCTGACCTTCAGCATCCATGTGCACCAAGTCCCTTTACTGATGTCCCTGACCTTCAGCATCCATGTGCACCGAGTCCCTTTACTGATGTCCCTGACCTTCAGCATCCATGTGCACCAAGTCCCTTTAGACATCTCTGACCTTCAGCATCCATGTGCACCAAGTCCCTTTAGACATCTCTGACCTTCAGCATCCATGTGCACCAAGTCCCTTACTGACGTCTCTGACCTTCAGCATCCATGTGCACCAAGTCCCTTTACTGACATCTCTGACCTTCAGCATCCATGTGCACCAAGTCCCTTTACTGACGTCTCTGACCTTCAGCATCCATGTGCACCAAGTCCCTTTACTGACGTCCCTGACCTTCAGCATCCATGTGCACCAAGTCCCTTTACTGACGTCTCTGACCTTCAGCATCCATGTACAGTGTGGCTTCCTCCAGACGTGACCTGTGCTTCCCCACCTCCGGTGTGTGTTGGGGGGCAAAGTAGGGGGACTCTGTCCACCCCATCCTCCTCTTGAAAGGACGTTCCCCTCCATCCTGCCTCTGCTCTTCACCCTATCCTCTCTTCCTTTTTTTTTTAAATTAATTTTTATTGGAGTATAGTTGTTTTACAATGTTGTGTTAGTTTCCATAATACAATGTTCGGCTTATATACAAATATGGCAGGGACAAGGTTATTTAACAAATCTGGATTCTAACACCAAACCTGCTTTGGAAATTGCTGCTTTTGATGCATACCTAAGTAAAAAAGCAACATTACGTGGAAGGTTGCTGTTTCTTGGTCAAACCACAGTATTTGAAGATTTAAACTAAGATATCCTACTGAAGAGGATGAAAAGTCTAGAGCACTTGGTCTTCAGGGATACCCACTTTAGGAGCCTGGTGCTGTTATCCTGTGGACTCTGATATGCCTGGAAGAGTATCACTAAGAGGACATGAAGATATCTGTACAACTGATGAGCGTGTTTTCGTGCAAAACAAGCCTGAAGTTCCCATGAATTCCTGTAACATGCAGCTCATCATTTGATCCTGATACATGAAACAGGATGATGGGTTTGTATTTGCATTCCAAATGGCAGAAGTTCCCAAAGGTGGGGTGCGAAGCTCTAGGACTGTTCCTTGGCCACCTGATGCAAAGAACTGACTCATTGGACAAGACCCCGATGCTGGGAAAGATTGAAGGCGGGAGGAGAAGGGGACGACAGAGGATGAGATGGTTGGATGGCATCACTGACTCAATGGACATGGGTTTGAGTAAACTCCGGGAGTTGGTGATGGACAGGGAGGCCTGGCGTGCTGCAGTCCATGGGGTTGCAGAGTCGGAAACGACTGAACTGGACTGAAGGAAATGTGCATTATTTTAAAAAGGTTTTGTTCCTTTTGATTTTCTTTAGTTTCTGAGATACTTCTGAGTTACTGTACACCAAGGTGAATCAGCTGTGTGTTTACATATCCCCACTCTGGGGGTTTCCTTCCCATTTAAGTCACCGCAGAGCATGGAGTAGACTTCCCTGCGCTGTACGCTACGTTCTCGTGAGTCTTCTATGTTATCCATGGCACCAGTAGCGTATATTTGTCAATCCCAGTCTCTCAACTCATCCCACCTACTCTTTTCCCTCCTTGGTGTCCGTATGTTTCTTCTGTACATCTGTGTCTCTAGTCCTATTTTGCAAAGATCATCTGCATCATTTTTCTCGATTCCACACGTATGCCTTAATGTACAATATTTGTTTTCCTCTGACTTACTTCAGTTTGTGTGACACGGATGTCCCTCTCCTCCTCTCAAATTCCATCATAAATGTCGTCTCCCATAGGAAGTCTGTCCTGCTGTCTTTGCTGGAAATTGTATGTGCACCCCTGAACTGCCTCCGCACCCCACCTCTGTCTGTACTGTGATGAGAAGATATTCTGCTGAAGGAGATCTCGGGTCACACCCTGCATGGTCACAAAAAGGCTTGGCTACGGCGTGACGGTCACTCTGGACCTTGTTGAGAGTCAGGCCTGCCTGAGTGATGCAAGGCTACGATGAGGTCCGGTGCCAACAGGGACTTGCCCGGACCTTCTTGTGCCTCTCCTGGGCCGCCGCTGTGACTCTCTGCTGACCTCTGCCTCCTGCTACACACGCCCTGAGTCATCTCCTCCACTAGACCCCTTGAGCGGAGAAGGCAATGGCACCCCACTCCAGTACTCTTGCCTGGAAAATCCCATGGACGGAGGAGCCTGGTGGGCTGCAGTCCATGGGGTCGCTAAGAGTCGGACACGACTGAATGACTTCATTTTCATTTTTCA